CCGCGTGCGCGCTTCGGTCTGGGCCGGCCTCTGGGCCGTCCGCCCCCACTGGCCGGGCCATGCCGAGTCGCCGCGTCGCCAGACCGCCTGCTGCGCCGGAGCTGGGGGCCTTGGGTAAGGGAGCCGGCGTTCAGGCGAGGAGTCTGGGGCGGGGCTGGGGATGTGGGAGTTCAGGGGGTCCGGGAGTAGTCTGGGGGCTCCTACAGGAGTCCAGGCATTTGGCGGGGAGAGTGTGAGCGTTGCGGGTACACCGTATTGGAGGAGGAAGAGGACCGGGAAGGGTCCGGCCCGTGGTACAGGAGAGGCGTCGGGCCGTGGAGTGAGGAGGGGGCGGGGCCTGACCCTGAGGCAGAGAAGGGGGCGGGGCCCGGCTGCGAGGGGTTGAAGAGGCGGGGCCTGGCTCCCGGAAGGAGGGGTCGAAGCTGCTCTCCGGGGGAGAGGGACTGGCTGGGCTCGTTAAAGGAGAGGCGGGGCCGGCTCACGGAGGGGGCGGGGCTTGTGCCTGAGGCCGAGAAGGGGCGGGGCCGAATACAACGAAGGAAGCGGGACAAGTTTCGGAGTTGTGAGGGGCGGGGCCTGCCGCTGAGAGGGCGGGGCCTGCCTGCTGATTGAAGGGGAAAGGCCCTGTCTGAAAACTGAAGGGCGGGACGTGACTCGGAGAACAGGAAGGCGGAGCTCGCCTCCAGAGGGTCGAGGGGCGGACTTGACAGCGGGAAAGTGAAGGAGTCGGGTGTGGCGCTGCGAGAGGGGTGGGGGCTTTCCTAACTGAGGTTGCGAAGGGGTCCATGATGAAGGGTAGGGTGAACGGCAGGAGCAGGACTTAGGGAAGGAGACTCGGCTGGACCCTGCCGGTAGGAAGGGGGCGGGAGCTGACCAGAGGGGCGGGGCTGGAAGGACCCCGGGGGGACCCCCTGAGACCCGCGTTCCTCTCGCAGGGCCTGCTGCTGCTGACCTGTCCTCGCTCCCTCTGGCTGTGTCCAGGACCGCAGGTGAGCAGCCGTGCGAGCTGGGGGTCCCTGTGGAGACGCCTTTGGGCACACGTCTGTCTGGGGGGTTTCCCGGGGGCCCCCTTCAGTCTTCCTGTGATGGGCTGTGTCCCTCCCTGCCCGCTGAGACGGTCCCCTAGGTGTCCCTGCTTCCTGGACAGTTAGGCGCTTGACCAGTGAGAGTAACCTGGTACTAGCATCTAAGAGGACTCCCGCGGCGCAGCAGAATAAGGTTATGACTGCCGTTTTGGTCTTTACCGTCAGCTCCCCCCCATTGTCTGCAAGTCACTTCCCCAATCGGTGGCCCCATTGTTCTCATCGGTCAGGTGGGAATAATATCGGAGCCTCCCTTTATGGGGGAGGGAAGGGTTCAGTGAGTTAACTTGCAAGGCAGTGTCTGGCATCCAGTAAAAACTCTTTCAGTGTTAACTGTTAGTGGTGTCATCTAATAATAACTAGTTTAGCATATAACATTAAATAGTATTTTTGTTTGTTTTTTGAGACAAGGTCTCTTTTTTTTTTTTTTTTTTTTGTTTTTTTGTCGTTTTTTGACAGGGTCTCACTGTACAGTTCAGGCTGGCCTTGAGCTCACTTTGTGTGTAATAAAGAGTTTACAAATGAGTAAAGTCAAATATATCCATGTCCCAAGTCAATTGCTAAATGGTTAATTTTTTGTTTTTTTTTTTT